CTGAGCGTGCTGAGCCGACCACAGGTCAGGGAGGTAGGAGGAGAGACGTCCTTTACTCAGTCGGACTTGAGCGCTGATCGCTCTGGAGTAGTGAGTTGACTTTAGGTACCTAAATAATATTAAAAGTTTAAAAATTCACTTTTAAGATTTTCTTTATTCCTAAGATATTCCTAAGACAGGGCAATGTAATTAAGGAGAATAATAAACGATGATTCCTAACAGATGATCTTCTTTTAGAAAAATAGAGGGTAATTATGTTAGCGAAAGTGCCGTTTGTCCCCAACTCCTGTTGAACCAAACGTTAACCACCTGTGAATACGCTGTCCTCAAGCAGGACACCTGGACAAGTCTTCCCCAGGAGGGGGAAGCCCGCCCTGCCCAGTAGCTGCAGGAACCGAAGCTTCCAAGGGGGAAAAACTGGTGTAATGTCACATGAAAGCAATGCCTCTCAAAGTGTGGTCTCCGGAACACGTTCCATGGGATAGTCATGGATCTGACTCACGTAAGGGCTCTATGGCAAATACTTTTGAGACATTTGGGGTTCAACAAAGATAAACTTCTCGTTAAAACAAAAACAAAACCCCAAGAGAACAAACTGCAGTACTCCACTAGAAACTGCAGCATCTCCTGAGTGACTTAATACGGTCCTTTCTGTTTTTCTTTTTCTTTTTTTTTTTTTTGGCTCCTCTCACATACCCGGTGGGTGAATTCTCCTTTGAGAATATGCACTGGCTTAGAATTCCAGTAACTTCCCATCAAAGACAGAGAACACGCAGGCAAGCACGCTGAAGGAGAAAAGCAGGGAGCATAACTGGGATGAACAGCTCATAGGGTGACTGCGGGGAAGGTGTGATCAGTGTCGTAACTCTCTTCTGCACACGGAAAATTAGTAATACCACATATTCAAGTTTCAACCCATGCTAGTCTTGCAGGGGAGGCAGAAGGATCGACCGTGATGAAAACATCATCGGTCCACAAAATTACTACCGGATACCAACATCACAGCAGTGACGGTCCTTCTGAGAAGGAGCTACAAAACCCCAGAAAGCACAGTACCCATCCTGCCAGGTTTTCAGCTCTTATTAAAACTTTTTCTTGTGCACAAACTGTACAAATGCGCGTGCACGTTTTAGGCTCATTATTAACCGGAGGTGATGATCAAGAGGTGACACATTAATGATTGTCACAGGTGCACAGACGTGCAGCATACTTTAGAGAAGTTAAAGGAAGCCTGTTTTTAGACAAGAACACATACAAGATACCTGCTGTAACTCACAGCTTGACAAACACCTCCCAAAGAAGGTTCGAGAAAAATGGAAATCCACAGAGTAGTGTGTACTGGATCACAGCACAGTAAACAGAACAGCAGCAGCTGGACCAGGCGGTGGGGCCAGGCGGATGCAGTACTTACTCCAACTCATGCCTAGAATGTACCTACTCCAGAGGCTCTGCCCACATTTAAAAAGGGCTGTTTTTCATAGACACATCAGTCCACGGAGCCTCAAGACTCTCAGATGTGCAGTATCAGGGGCATTGACGGGCCTGGGATTAGGAAGAATTCTCTGCTCTCTTGCTGGGGATACAGTATTTTGCGGAGAGAGCAAACCATTCATCAGGAACGATAATGTCTCTCAGTCTATTAGCAGGAGGAGGGAATATGTACGGTTCATCATAGAAGCAGCTCTTGGTTTTCAATGGGTGTCCTATTTTGTCTCTAACACTTTCCAGCTGGGTTTGACTTCAGGCCTAGGGAGGTCAGATGATTCACTCCAATGCCCAGTGAGATAGACCAGCTGGGACTTGAACTCAGGGCCTCGGTGGGCGTGTGACCATTGCCCTAGTCAGTCAACTGCTCTGCTTCCTGGTTTCAGCTGCCTCTCTGGTTGCACCTCGCAGCCAGCATGCTGTAGCTGGCAGGGCCCGTTCCCGGGGCTGCCTCTGCTGAGGCCTGGAATAACAGCCGTGTTACAGGTCAAGTCTGAATGTTCTGGCAGTGCAGTGTGGGCAGACCGTTCATGCCTGCTCGAAGTGTACAGTGTCTGGTGAAGCCAAAACGAAGATAGCTAAACTCACATGCCAAGATTCCAAAAGGAAAAACTTAGCTCACATTTTTCCTTTGCATGGTGAATTTTCTTCCCTTCCTTTATTTTTTTTTTTTAATTTTTTTTTTAAGGAGTCCCCGTGTTTATAAGTTGAAATCCAAAATGTACAAGGTCAGTTCAGAATTCTGTGACCTGTGAACATCTGTGGGCCTGGGTGTTCCTTGGGAAGCAGCGTGATGAGAGCAGTGAGCCAAGCCTGCCCTAGGCAGAAAGGAATTCTCCAGTGAGTAGCCATGGAGCAAGAAGACCTGGAGAGCCTGGCCACCCTCTAGTTCTGCTTTCCCCAGGGCATGTCTGCACTCACCTCAACTCATTTTATGAACTATGCTCTGACTATATTTTCTACAGTGGATCCATCTTAAACTCCTTACAGGAAGTAGGGCATGAATCTTCATTTTGCCTTCAAGAGAAATAAAAGTCTGTAACTAGAGATGGCCCAAATCTGTTTACTCTGTGTCCTGCGAGTAAAAGGAAAACTCTAGAATAATATATCTCTTTGGCATCTGTCTCGGAGGACTTACGTGACTGAAAACCGATAGGGCCTCTCTCAGAGGAAGAGGGTGAGTCTCACAGCCCCGACTCCCAGGAGGCCATCCCACTCCCACTGGAGTGTGCTGGCGTGGCTGAATGTCCTTCAGTTCCACTCTGGGTTCCATTAGGTCAGTAGATGGACTTAGGCTGCATTATCATTTTGAAGCTTTAACTTGCAGATTCACTCAAAATATAAGTGAACCTCACTGGGTAAAGTTGGCATGTGATTTCTTAGGTTGTCGGGAAAGTTGGGACTCATGTTTACATAGGAAAACATAGAAAAAATATGGCATGACTTTCCCAACAACCTTTACTTGCATCTCCTCTCTGGACCTTGGTTTCCCCATCTGTAAAATGGAGGAGTGGGCCAGATTGCTGCTCCTTAGCCATACTGCAGCTCCAGGGGTATGAATCAGGGCCTGTTATTCTTCTGGTTGGGATTTAGTGCCTCTGTTCTAACTTTAAGCTGGGTGTGGTGAGGTGAAATGTACTCCCAAATTTAATGTATTAACCAGAATGTGACCTTATTTAAAGATAGGACCTTTTTACAAAGTAGATAAGTTAAAAATGAGGTCATTAGGCTGCATCATAACCCAGTATGACCAGAGTCCTGTAAGAAGAGATTAGTACAGATGGGCACTGATGGAAGGTAAAGACACAGAGAGGGTGGCCCTCTGCAAGTCAAGGAGAGGGGCCTCCGGAGAAACCAACCCTGCAAACATCTTGACTGGACTCCAGCCTCCGGAACTATGAGCAAATGAATGTTTGCTGTTTAAGGCGTCCAGTCTGAGGTGCTTCATTTGGGCAGCCCTAGTAAGTGAGTAAACTAGATTATAGCACATGACTTTTCTGGGCCGTAAAAGAAGTTCCATGGGTTTTTCTGAATAGACTCTTATTTTTGGTTTTAGCCTAAAATTGGGTTTTCTATGGCAAGATGTTTAAAATATTTTTATTTTTTAGAGATTTTTGCTACAGGGTGAGTGTGCTCACCTATAGAGACACAAAGCAATAATTTCAAAGACAGAAAGCAATAATTCGCCCCCCCCTGGGGGGATGGCCACGCATGCATGCACACGCACCAGCATGAGTTTCAAGCCAAGGGTCTGAGACGCGAACTGTGGTAGACCATGTGGGAATCCAGCAACGCAACCATTACACCATCTGCTGGCCCCACTTTTTTTTTGTTTTAAGAAGTTTCTTTATCATTAGGTGTGAAATCAGTCATTTTAGTAAAATAAATCTTTGCATTTATTCATTCAATATAGAGCTGGTGGGCTATTTTTCTTAATGACTATAGATCATCATTCTGCCTTTAAAACCAAATAAGCTCATTGGATAAACCTACAAGTCACAGCACATTTATAAAGAACTTTAGGGACCAGCAGTTAGCGTAATGGCTATGTCACTGGACTCCCACGCAGTCAACCGTGGTCTGTGTCTCGGACCTGGTGGCTTAAACTCACACCGGGCACGTGTGCGTGTGTGCCCAAGATCCTGAGAGGAGAAAGGAGGAGAACGGATTGCAGCGTGGCCATACCCCCGGGGGGTGATTTCTCGCTTTCTATCTCTCTGTCTGTCTGGCGAGCACACACGCCCTATAGTAAAAACCTCTCCAAAAAAAATAAAAAAGAACTTTAGACCAAACAAGTATCCCGATGTGGCAGAGTCCAGTTTCTTTTTAGAACTTTTGACTTTGAAGTTCCTCCAGGGCCCACACTGACCGGGTGATAAAGAAGGGTCTCCACCATCATCTGCTGTTTTAGAGGCTTAGATTCTTACTTGAAATAAAACATGTTATTACCAAAACAGATTTTTCTTTCATTTCGTACCAAGACTCTGATTCTTTCCTTTTATAAAATAGTCACGTGATTGGAATATAGTATCAATATCTAGAAAGCATGAAACTTCTTTTTTTCCTGTCTTTTTCTGTAGGTGCCGTTTGACCACTAGAGTGACATTTTCCAGGGAGAACATTTCTAGACTAAGACCTCTCACTTGAGGTTAGAACCTTCCAGTGTCTGAGGCTGTACATGTCCGAGAGAGAGACATGTAAGGAGAGACATGGTATCCCCTTCCTCTTCTGCGTCACTGCAGATATGCCCCATGGATGCTCGAAATCAGAGACTAGTGATCCAGATAACTCAGCACCCTGACACCAGACCAACTAGGGAAAACAGCAATCAAGTCTGGTGTTTGGTATTTTATATGCACAGCCAAGTAAAGGAATGACTAGCTCTTTTTTTTTGCTAGCTATTTCGGTCTCATAATTATAAGAATGAAAGTTGATAGATTTTTTTTAAAAAACACGTCTTTTCAAAATCACATCTTTAGAAAAAAAGCTTGACCAATTAAGAAGGCAGAGGGAAATGTGAGGAACTGCAGGCACATTTATTTCCAGCTATCAACAGAATGGAAAAAATATGTCAACTTATTTATATTCATTTATTTATGTGGGTAAGGAATAAGTTAAGGAATGCTTCATCTCAAACACAGATTGCTTTTATTTTTGCTAAGCTAATGTTTCAGTTCCATATATATTTTTGAATTTCCATCAATGTCAAACACCATTTTTTTCTTCTTTAAGAAAAAAAAAAAAGATTTACAAGCACTTTTACAGCACTCAAGGAAAGTAGGCTGAAGGTTCATAACAATAATTTTCCTTTTAAAAAACATCCATCAGACCAAAATAAAATCATTTTAATTAACTCCTTCCTGAGTAACTAAAACCTTGGAATGTGCTGAAAGATTATAATAAATAAGGCAGTCAAAGATCAACTAGCTTAAAATGTATTTCTTAAATTAAACTATGTAAAATGTACAATATATTTCATGAAGTACAAACTGTGTTGGGCCCAGGGCCAAAGAAATGTTGTCATGTGTGCCAAATCAACTGATGAAGAGCCTTGACTTTAGGACCTGGGGGCTGTGTGTTGGAACCAAGTGACATGATGGCCCCGTAAGTCTATCAGTCAGCATCTTTTTTTATAAAGTGATAATGATCACTGCTGAAAACTAATGCCTTTGAACACACAGGAACCAGTGCCCAGGTGAACTTGTAGTCAGAAGATGGATTTTTTTTTTGAACGACCAATCGTCTCAACGTTCTGACAACAGCAGAGATAACTTTGCCGACTCCACTTTCAGATTGTGAGATTGAACAGTGTATAAACTAATCATCATTCTTCATATGTAATTTCATAGAAATGACTCACAACGTACTAGGCAGCAAGTTTTGTACTTGTTTGGATATGATAGCTGTCCTCCAGATTGCTTTTATACCTAATAGTAGGGCCCTGGTCTCTCCGAACAGGACAAAGGATATTTCCTCCTCTAAGAACGTGTCCCTCAATCACTCCCAGCCCCGGTCCTCTGAGGCAGAAAGGAGGGCCCACAAGTGGCCAAGTGGTGGACCTGGGGCCTCTGCCGTCCCAGCCTTCCCCCCGGCGCTCGTGGGCTGGGGCCTTCTTAATGCATCTCATGATAAAGTAGCTTTAGTGAGCGCTCAGCGGGTTCCAAAAGACTTGCTTTATATTTTGGCTACCATCCAACTTTAGTGAAGGAAGAAAAAATTCTACAGAGACTTGTTGGTTTCTGAAAAGCAGAAAATGTGTAGTTTATGTAAAATCAGTCTTGTTTACTAGTAAGTCTCCTAACTTACACTTTGCTAGTGCTCTGGAGGGGAACGTGAAGTAGGCAGGACGTATCAGCAAGTACTCTTCTTGCTGTCACCATGACATCCTGGCATCTCAGCTAGCTGTTTACTACCCACCCAAAATATATGTGTATCCATTCAAACACATGTACTTTGTTTTTAAGGGTGAAGACATTGCAGATTTCAAAGGAATCGATTTCTAGTGACTGGACCAAGCCATCATTGATAGGTGACAAGTGATGGGGTGGGAGGTAAAAAGAACAGCTATTTTGGAACAATGAACACCCAGCTTCGACTCAGATCACGCTGGGGGCAGCTGCCTGTTCATAAAGCTGGTCAACCCTTCTCTTACCCAGAAACTCTTTCTCTCTTTTTGATATTTTCAGTAAAGGTTCTCAAGAGCAAGGAGGTTCCACAAGAAATGGGACTCTAGTTCTACTGCTACCTGCGCAGACTCAGGACTCCTTTTTACTGAAAACAGGTACCTCCTAGAGGATGAGAAGTACTATAATCCATAATACTAAATACGAGGGAATCCATCTTGGCCAGGGTTGTGTTTGATTTTGTCTGTGGTCAGGTTTAGAACTTCTGGCATAAGTCAAATGCCGGACTATATTGGTTTCTGAGTCTTTCATTTAAAGCAATACTGGGGGGAAAGAAACTACCTATTGGGTTCAAAGGACAAAGCCAGGCCTTTTTCCTGAAGCCATGTGATCTTCAGATTTTATCTGCCTTGCCTACATTCTTTCCAGCTGTGTAGCTTGGCTATCTGTCGAACTGTACTTGGAAATGGGATGTCTCAGTAGAGCTTGCCATGCACTTTGACCTTGAACGATACTCTAGGCTCGGATTGGATGGGGACATGGCACATGCTGACTTGCTCTTTCAGAGATAAGGACATTGCTCTTGGTGAAAATGTCCCCTGAAATGGACCAGAGGCAGAATTCTACCCATGTGGGTAGAAACCACTTTACCAGGGACATTCTCCCTGTTCATGTCCTCTTAGATCCTTCTAGAATAATTCCCTGGTCCCTGAAGTGGTTTTGTATTTCTACTGAAATGTACAAGTCTGGATGTCTCCTACCACTGAGGTAATCTTTTTACAAGTCATTTTACAAGTGAGATGTCATTGGCTGTGGGCTGTATTTCGCTCCCTTCTCCCGTCACTCGGAGAATGTGGAAAGCTGTTTTATGAAGAGATACCTGGTGATGGAGCCATCTAGTGTACCTGGGAAGGACCCAGGAGCCACGACAAAGACACAGAATAAAATTAAACAAATAAAACCCGCAAAACCGGGCATCTCCCAATGACCCCACATATGGGAATGTTTTGTTCTTTTTAATGCACCCGAGCATTAATTCAGTCCCTTCAGGATTTTTTTCCCCAAATAAAACACTTTCTGGAAAGGGGAGATAAAGCCACGGAGGCAACACAGTGCTGGCTTCACCTCTTATAAATATCTTCTAGCCACTTTTCATCATCTTGTTCCTGGTCGTCGACTGGCTCCTCCGTCCCCAGTGGCGTTGGTATAAAGAACTGCGGCCTCAGGGGAGGCTTGCTGACATGCGACTTGAGTCCAAACTTGCGCTTCAGCAGGTGGAACTGCTCTTTGACGTAGTGGTAGAACTCGTACTCGTATCTCATTCGCTGGTAGAGAATCTGCACGGCCTCAGGAGAGGGGACAGTCTTCTTCACGGTCACAGTCATGTTTCCAAGTTTCCTATGCTCTGGAAAGGAACCGAGGTCACACATGAGCTAGAAGAACAGTGAGGAGCATGCTACATGCACAACTCCAGGGACACCACAGGAGGCTATCTGAGAAACAGAGGGAAAACAGAACTGCTGGCAATATTTGGACTCCCCCTCCCCATATTCTAGGCGTTAATAGCAACATTAGCCAACTAAACATATACTGTCTAACTTCCTTCTTGTGGACTATGAACCATGTCATTTCACCACAATCCGATTGTTAGCTGTAAGTTTGTTCTTTCTCTTCCTTCCTTCCTTCCTTCCTTCCTTCCTTCCTTCCTTCCTTCCTTCCTTCCTTGCTGTAAGTTTGTTCTTTCTCTTCCTTCCTTCCTTCCTTCCTTCCTTCCTTCCTTCCTTCCTTCCTTCCTTCCTTCCTTCCTTCCTTCCTTCCTTCTTTCTTCTCTCTCTCTCTCTCTCTCTCTCTCTCTCTTTTGTTAGTGGGCAGGTATGCTTGCCAGAGAGAGAGAGAGAACACATCCCCCAATGAGGTATGGTCACGTGCAATCGCTTCACCTCTATCTCTCCTTCCTGTCAGGATTATGGGCATGCACATGTGCCCATTGTCTTTCCCAAGCTGCTGGGCCGTGACTCAAAATGCTGTCAGCCATGTGGAATCTGATTTTCTATGTAAACACTTAACCTCTATGCCATGGGTCTGGCCCCAGTTTTACATTCTTTCAAACAGCAAAATCTATCCATATCCATTTTTTCTCTTTTATTTCCTGTTATACACATAAAGGGCTTTACCTTCAGAAGGAGGCACCCAACAACTGTCTCACCACTGTTTATTTTTTTTAAGAGAGATTTTTGCTATAGGGTGCATGTGCTCACCAAAGAGACAGGAAATGAGAAATCATCCTCCCGGGGATTGCCACACCACAATCCCTTCTCCTCCATTCTCCTCTTGGGACTTTGGACATACTTGCACATGCGCCCACGTGAGTTTGAAGCCACCAGGTCCAGGGCTCAACTGCAGTCAGCCATGTGGGAGTCCAGCAACATAACCATTATGTTACTTGCTGGTCCCTGTCTCACCACTTTTTAATGATCTTAGTTTCTCAAAACATTTTAAATATTGAACCAAAATGGATATAATGTTTCATTTGATGCAAAATCCATTTGCATTTCACTGTTTCAATAATGCATTTGTGGGGGACCAGCAGTTAGCGTAATGGCTATGTCGCTGGACTCCCACGTAGTCGACCATGGTTTGCGTCCCGGACCTGGTGGCTTAAAACTCACGCCGGGTGCGTGTGTGTGCGTGCCCAAGATCCCAAGAGGAGAATGGAGGAGAAGGGATTGCAGTGTGGCCATCCCCCCTGGGGGGTGATTTCTTGCTTTCTGTCTCTATGTCTCTCCCTGTCTGTCTGGCGAGCGCATGTGCCCTATAGCAAAAACTTCTCCAAAAAAAAAAAATGCATTTGTCAAGAAAGGTAAAGGAAGGACTCTTAGGTGCCTTAAATATAATTTTGACTGCTATAAAGTTTAAATGATTTAAAACAAAATTTTAAATATTAATACTAATGTTTAGAACATAAAATATATCTTGTTTTTTGTTTTTCGAGAGGTTTTTGCTATAGGGTGCATGTGCTCGCCAGAGAGACAGAGAGAGACAGAGATACAGAAAGTGAGAAATCACCCCCCAGGAGGGATAGCCATGCCACAATCCCTTCTCCTCCATTCTCCTCTTAGGATCTTGGGCACGCACGCACATGCACCTGGTGTGAGTTTAAGCCACCAGGTCTGGGACTCGAACTGTGGTCGACTACATGGGAGTCCAGCGACATACCCATTACACTAACTGCTGGTCCCTAGAACATAAAATATATCTTAAAATTAATGCTTAATAACATTATAAGTTAAAGATATGTAACATAAGTTATATATGTAATATGTATGTTTTATATATATGTTTATTTATATGTGTGTGTGTGTGTGTATATATATATATATATGTATAAAACATAAAATTCTAACTATTTTGAAGTGCGAAATTCATTGGCATTAATTATATTCACAGTGCTGTGCAACTATTAATATTATCACTATTTCCCAAAATCCTTTGATCAATCCAAATAAAAACTCTGTACCCACTAAACAGTAACTCCCTATTCCCCTCTTCTCATCCTGCCCAGGTAATCAATAATCTACTTTATCTCTATATGAATTTATTGAAGTACTTAATATAAATGGAATCATACCACATTTGTCCTTTGTTTAGCTTATTTTACTTAGGATAAATTAGGTTGTCAGGAAAGTCATAACGTAGTTTAGTATGCAAAAATGCTTCAGGACTTTCCTGACACCACAATATTTTCAAGGTCCTTCCATGTTGCAGTGTGCATCAGCATTTCATTCCTTCTTTTGGCTGAACAACATTCCATCATATAGCTAGACTACAATTTGTTTATCCATTCATCCACCCAAAAACATTTGGGATGTTTCCACTTTTGGCTACAATGATGGACATTGATATAGAAGCATCTGAGTCCTTGTTTCTGATTATTTCGGGTATAAAATAATTATGGTGGAACCATTGGGTCATAAGGTAAGTCAATGATTAACTCTTTGAGGAACTGCCAAAATGGTTTTCCACTGTGACTGCACACTATTTTACATTCATACCAGCAGTATGGGAAGGTTCCAATTTCTCCAGATATTCCACTGCAAACTATTATTATTATGTTTTATTATAGCTATCCCAATAAATGTGATATTTCACAATGATTTGATGTGTATTTCCCTAATGAGTAAGATTCTGATGCTAATGATTTCTCTAATGACTAATGATCTTTCATGTTCTTACTGTCCATTTGTATATCTTCTTTGGTGAAATGTCTATTTAAGTTCTTTTCCCAAGTTTGGAATTGAGTTTTGTTATCGTTGTTGAGTTGTAGGAGTTCTTTATGCATTCTAGATATTCTGCATGTATACTAGGTATGTGATTTACAGTATAATTTCCCATTCTATAGGCTGTCTTTCACTGTGTTGATAGTGTTATTTGATGCATGAAACTTTAAAAATGTAATGAAGACTATTAAATCTAGTTTTTTTTTTCTTGTCTGTGTTTTGGTGTCATATTCAAGAAAGCATTGCCAAATCTAAGAACAATAAGATTTGGTCATTTTCCTTTATCATTGTGTTTTTTTAACTACAACTTTTCACCAAATTTGGGTAGGTACGTAATTTACTAACCATAGCTCCAAATGGTTATTTTAAAAATCAGATGCACCTGGAAGGACAAAGACTTTCTTAAAAAGACACTTGAGAGACTTTTTGAAGCCCCTGATAGCAATTCTACAGAAGGAATTTACAAAATTCTGAATAGTAATGGCCTCACTGAAAAAAGAGCATTACTTCTCAAATTGATTGTCTTGAAAGGCATAATATACATTTGGATATATCAGCTCTATAATTTTTGTTAAAGAATTTTACATAGATTCTTCTGAAATGGTTTTATGTTGAAACCATTTTATTATATCTATTTTCTCTGCAGATATGAACCCTACCTAATCTGGGATGGGTCATGTTCAAAGGCCTTACATATAGGTATCTGTGTGTGTGTGTGTGTGTGTGTGTGTGTGTGTGTGTGTGTTTTCTGGAGAAATTTTTGCTAGAGGGTGCATGCACTTGCCAGAAAGACAGAGAGAGACAGAGAGACAGAAAGTGAGAAATCACCCCCCAGGGGGGATGGCCACACCGCAATCCCTTCTCCTCCATTCTCCTCTCGGGATCTTGGGCATGCACGCACACGTGCCCAGCATGAGTTTAAGCCACCAGGTCCGGGACTCGAACCACCGCGGTGTACTACATGGGAGTCCAGTGACATGGCCATTACACTAACTGCTGGTCCCCCTGTGTTTTTAAAACAGAGTTAAACATTTTTTATTAAAGACAGATAAGATGTAAAAAGTTTTAAGTTAAACACTGAGACACAGGTAAAGAATAATTCATACATTTATAGTTTCCTATTGCCCCTTCTTCTTGGAGAACTCTAAATCGTATAGGACTTTATCCATAAAGAACTGGAGGAATTTTACAAAAATATATATGCTACCAATAGCTAAATATTGATAGTTGAAGGAAGAATAGGCAACGGGAGAATAAAGGTAGAAACAAAACAAGGAAAGAGTCAGTATTGGGGTGTAACTGTTACCCTCCCCCTAGAATAGTGCTCCTGGCACCATGCCCTAGGTCATCTTTCAGAGAGGGAGGACAAGTAGCAGGGCCAGAGGAGCTACTCTGATTATGTGTTTGGGAGAAAGGGCTGGGCTGGTCTCCCCTGTAGGGTTAGTGTGCCTGCCTGCCTGCCTGCCTGCTATACCTATACTTAATGCCTATGAACACGATTCATATTTTCTCACAGGGCAGGGTGGGACAAGCCTGTCTAACTCAGGATGGCACCTCTCAGTGTGGTTCTCCTCACACCCGAGCTGCATTTTCCCACTTAGCTTCTCTGGCAATCACACTGACGTTAGATCTCCATCTGTCTGTCTCTCACACCTATTTTCTAGTTTAGAACCCAGGCAGGAGAAATAGGCGTTATTAGTTCCTTGACCTCCAAAGGCTAGGAAGACTAAACACTGTCTGTGATCTTCCAGCTCCATGTGCAGGAGGTAGGTCTAGAGTTTGGCTCTAACCTTTCTAGCGTAAAGATCTTAACATATTACAGGATGAGTATTTCTTCTCTGAAGTGCCAGCAACCAGGAGTATTTCTCATTTCGGATTTTGGAATATCCGTATATGCATAATGAGATATCTTGGGGATGGGACCAAGTCTAAATGTGAACTTCATTTATGGTTCACATACACAGAATACATATATTCTTTTTTTTGGAGAGGTTTTTGCTATAGGGTGCGTGCACGCGGCAGACAGAGAGAGACAGAGAGACAGAAAGCGAGAAATCACCCCCCAGGGGGGATGGTCACGCCGCAATCCCTTCTCCTCCATTCTCCTCTCGGGATCTTGGGCAGGCAT